GTTATAGCTAACAGCATACTCTATTAGGTGCTACAAACGCGCGTCACTTTCTTAGACAAGCTTGAGCTGTGAAAAGGAATATTGTGATTATAAAGTTTCCTGTACATAGCATTAAATATAAAATGGAGTTCACCGCAGAGTCTATGAATCCGTTGCACCGTCCGATTTTTCATCAAATCTACGCAACACCCTGCCTGTGGCTATAATACATATTAACATGGCAGTTCTTGAACCGGAAATTCGGTTTCATCTCCAGTTTGTGGCCTCTCTAGAGAGCTCTCCTTGAAAGTCTCCGGGTCGATGTCGTTTCCAAATGTAACAGTGCGACCTGTCATTTGTCCCTGTTTGTCTTTCATGGCCCGGGACCAAGCACCAAAATGAAGCGAGGATAGGACACTTTCCTTCCACGTATCATCAGGACGTGAATGGCCAGAAGCAATGCGTCCGACCATGAGCGTAGGAGCGATTCCCTGTGCAAGACCGCATTAGATTCCGATCTTCACGGCACAATGTTACGAGAGATGTGTATCATTGACAAACCTTGATGGAGGCGTTGATCACGTTCGGATATGCTCCCGTCAATTCATTACGGGCAACGAAAACCATATAGACGACCGTAGATGCCGAATAAAGTGCGGCTGATTCCACGATGACTTCGATAACCCCACGATATGATCGCAACCCTGAACCATGTTTCCCGCCCGCTACCGTAACAATTCGATAGATGATAAGCACGGTGCACAGAAGGGTCGTGGCGAGGGTAAGAGACAGAGAAAGCGTTGTCCAGTCAATCCTGACCGCATACGCAGATGACCCCGAGTCACTTTGGTTGTCATTCGTATCGGCAACGACGTGATAAACAGATATAGCGTCAAATACTGAAAGATAATATATCAATTCTGTGGAAGACTAGTAAGGGTGTCTGTCTTACTGGTTCCGCCAATGGTACATAATATAGGTAGCAATATCACCCACCATCGACGCCCCCAGACGGTCCAGCAGCGCCATATCTGAGAGGAGGTTAAATTCAAGACTACATGATCGTTGTAGAAGTACACATACCATTGAAGAGTCGGCAATGACAGTACTGACGCACCCAGTAATACCACCAACGAGTCGGAAAGTCACCGCGCGGTCAGTTACTCTCTGTAGTCCAACGAATATGGACCAAAATGTCTGGCCTTGATCAATGAATGCGTATCGAGTGAATGACCACTGAAAAGCCATGTACAACGTAGCGAGTATGTACAGTAGCACGACCATGAGAAGCATAAATTGTCGGGCTGCGCCACAAGTCAAAACTTTGCTGGTGCCTAGATCTTTAGAATGAGCATTAGAAAAAAAAAGTTTCCCCGGCGACGACATACATATACTCCAAAAGGTGGCGAGTAACACGCAGGTGTGTATTCCTATTTCCGAGGTCAGACGATTATCTAAAATATCACCAGGAAACAGCATACCGTGCATAAATACGTGAACGATGAGCTCGTTCAAGTATTCGTCGTTAACGCTGTAAACCAGCTTGATCTCATCGTCAGATAACTGCGGAATGTCCGTTGAGTTTGAGGGTGCCATCGTGGAAGAGATGCTTGGTGAAAGGTTTCAAGTTCTTTTCCCCCTTATATAAGTAGAGTCCATGGACATGTTCTTGAACTCTATATATGAAGGGAGAAAATACAATATCTGATATCACGGATGCCAAGATGCTGAGATGAAACGTTTCTGGACTGCCCCCATGAGAATTTGATACAGAAGATCAGAGAACGATGATACATCAGAAAAGTTAATTGCATGCGTGTTTTTGATAGCTCAGGAGGACATTAATAATCATCTTTCTCCTGGAAATTAAAGGTAGAGACGCGACTCATGACAGCCCAGCCAGGACAAGTGAAGAGAAGTTAAACAAACATGCCTATAGAACAACAGGCTGCATCCATCACCGATGATCATCCAGTACTTTCAGCAGCAGCAATGGCTCGGAGTTTCTATGAGCGGGAGAGGCCCACTGGCAAGCCACTATCAGAACAGCCCCAGTGCTTCCGTAATCGCTCCTACTTTGTTCTCGCTGAGAGGCTCAAGAATATATTCCAAAGATAACAGGTATCAGTTTCAGCAGCAGTAAATCTGGGGCCATTGATTGTGGCGTCAGGGACAGAACAGGACGACGGCACCGAAGTAACCTATCACTGGGGCCTATGCATTCCCTGGGAAGTGATTCAACTTGAGCGCTGCAGTGACAAGGAAACACAAACCCTAATGACACTATTAATAAACTAAGGTCCATAGTGATGGCCCAGCTTTGGGTAATGCGAGCCCATTCGAGGGGATAATTTTACGCTAATGCCTTTGTAAAGAAATAGGCCGTCGGGAGCAAATTACACTATCACGGTAACCTATCACTGGTTAGTCACTGGTTCGAACGGTGCCACAGATCACTGGCAGGTCCATTAGACACTGCTTGTCGGAGAGCCAAAGTTTGCTCCGGTTTCAGAAGAATCTAAAGGACATCATCTGAACTATGCGTCGTGATGGTGAGTCAGAGAGAAGTGCTTTGGCTTGGGAAGTTCGACAAGGGTGAGATCTTGGTCAAGCGGCGTATAATTTGTGAGAGAATTATGAAAGATATAGCGCAATCGGTTAATTAGCCAAGGCAACTCTGACGCCAAAATTTGGAGGGGAAAGCTAAACACTGTTCAGGTTGAACTTGAAGCCTTTAACCAACGTCCACGACGGCCCTAATGTTCACGCGATATCTCGGCAATCATTGATCAATTTGGATTCAATTTCACTTTCTGACCGTCGCCATGTCTATCAACCTTTATCCCGTTCATTGATGTGTCCCCTGCGTCCTCTGACAACCCCAAGCTTTCTTTGAATCTATGGTTATGCTTCCGAAGTGATTTCTTCTCTGCCTTGTGTCTGAACTCCCAGATGCGAAGCTGGTATCCGCGCTTGTCGGAGTACGGGAGCTGGAGATCAAGGGCGCAAATCGATGTGCTGTTCCCTGACCATAGATACTTGTCCAGACTTCGAGGTTTTGGAGACAAATGCCAATGAAAATGATACGACGAGGCTTAATGGGGCGTTCACGTACTCGCAAGCTCTTTCAAAATGATGACCGTGGTTGTCTCTGTACGGGCATTGACTAAGAGTTTTTGTTGCACCTTCATTACTTTCACTCAGGTCTCTCGGCGAAATAAAACTGGGCTCTTATCTCATTGAGATTCCTCTATTTTGCCGTCATCCCTGAGCATCATCGTGTCCCAAAGACATGTGCACTGCTCCTTCGGATTTTGTGCTAGCTGATTACTGGGACGACGGCGAGGTCCTCGGAGGGAGGATCTCAAAGACTAGCTACAGCTGACAACAAAAGTGAAGGGCGAGTGGCATTGCTACCGCTACAGCTACGAAGTTCTATGCACAGAAACCTTTTGCGGTTGACTCAGGGATGGAGTATCTCTGAGTTTGTAGTGCATGTAGAGAGCCAAGAAATACCGACTCCCCGTATGGCTCGGCGCAACGCTTAGCCTCTTATCATCTGTCGGACATTTGGCTTACCCAGAGGTCTTTCATACCTGTCCTCATTGACGTCGAGCCGATCCTGTAGCATTTTGTTTGTCGACGTCGTTTCCGCTTGGAAAGAGGCAGTAACGCATTCGATTCTATGTCAAACATTTCATAACTAACTTGCAGACCTTAGAGTCAACTTGCTACACGCCAACCCCCTCATTATCAGCTGAGCCCAATGCCAAGAAATCTCCTCTGCGACTTATAAACCCCAATCTCGACATCCATCTCGTTTTCTTCGCCCCGGACAAATACGTGAATGACAGAACCTTCTTCGCATAGCACAAGCCATGTCCTGCCCGAGACAACACGCACTCTTACCGAGGACGACGAGCTACCCAGTAGTGGGAGGAGTAACGATGCAAGCCACGAGAATCAAGTAACGGATCTGGGAGATAACGAACGAGGAGAATGCAATCAAGATAGAGATGCCGTCCCCTCTAACTCTGCTTCCCTCCTCTATGTGCTGCGTTACACCCCCCTGAACATCCTCCTCTTGTGCATCCCCGTCTCCTGGGCGCTACACTACGCTGCGCGATCCGATACCCACATCTTCGTGTTCTCAGCGCTGGGGATCGTGCCTCTCGCCGCCCTTCTTGGGTTTGGGACAGAATAAGCTGCGACAAGGACGAGTGAGAGCGTAGGAGGGTTGCTCAATGCAACGCTGAGAAACGTAGTGGAGATGATTATTAGCGATGTTGGGTTGCAGAAGGTTTCTCCAACTCATTTTTCCTTGCGTATTGTTTGACACTACTCTTGCAGTGCGACCTGGAGCTGGTGCAGAGCTCTCTGTTAGGTGGTTTGCTGAGCAACCTCCTCCTTGTGCTGGGTATGGCGTTCCTCGTGGGCCCGGCAGAGCAAGAGTTCCATCCCATGGTCGCGTAAGTGAACTCGAGTCTGATGATGGCGGTCGTAGTGGCGATGGTGGTACCGGTAGTGCTAGTGGGTGGTTTTGATGTGAATGCGTTCGTCTTGTATTCAGTGCTCGATGCACGTCGTGGGATGCGATAATATGCCCTGTGGTTATACGAGTCAGTTGCTGCGGAAACGATAATAGACGAAATGGATGAAAAACCCCACTGGCCACGGAGTATCTATTTGAAACCCAGGTGCTTCGAGAGTCCCACAGACGTCGGTTGGACGGTCTAGCGCTACCGCCAAAGTCTTGGCCAAAATAAAGACATTCCAAAACGCGTCGATCCACTCACCCTCCTCGATGCTGTCGCGCAGAGGAGGAAGGGTGATGGTGGTGCTCGTCGTTACACCATTACGTATCAACGAAGCCGCAGAAATTGTCGGAGGCCGCCAAGCTGCTTCAGAGCGTAGTCTGTGCAACCCACACAATTGCGAGAGACGCTGCATCTTCGGTATGACATCGGGCCTCGAGGAAGTTTCCTATTCGCAAGAAGTAATATGCAAGAAGGACTTCTGCTAGAATGGTGTGTAGGAATCTGTCTGGGTGGGTGTTTGTGAGATCTGCTGATACGTGCCTGAGAGTGCGGGCAAGGTACTGGTGTTGATGGGCCCAGACGGACTGTTCCTTTGGTTTCTGGTCTCTTTGGGAAGACAAATGAGATCCCCAAAGGTAAACAGTGGAGAGGACTGATGAATCGGGTTGTGATTGGTGACCGAGCGGCAGAGACAAAACAGCTGAATTGTAAAATCAGGTGACATCAAGGGAGAAGCCTAGGTGGGCAGAATAAGAAAAGAAGAGATCAAGACTAGGGAGGCAATTAATCGATTGAACTGTTTTTTTTTTTCATAGACGTGGACAAGACTTACAGGTCCCGTATGACTGGAGCTGATGGTTCCTATGGGCATGTCAGAGTCAGAGTCAAAATCAGGGAAAGAAGAAATGGCGCACTTGAGCGTTGAACGGTGGCGCGTCCGTCCGAGATGAAATTGGTGAAGCCGAACCTTTTTAATAAGATGAGTTCCTAAGCGAGCGCCTGAGCAAATTAGTGTGTATCACCTGGGGGGGGCGTAGATGTTATTGACAAAGAAGTCGATGCCAAATATGGAAAGGAAGGACTTTGGAAAAGGTGTCAGAGGTAGATGGGGCATAACCGGCGAGGCTTTGGACCTGCACGTTACAATTACACATGGATTGTTGTCAGTGCTTGTATGCAAGATGTCATCAGTAAAAACACCATCAAAGGAAGTCCATAGTCAGATGGTGAATTTCTGGGCTGAATTCGAGACAAGGTGGAATGTCGGGGTGATGCAAAAGTCACAATAATGGGCCTCAAGGTGTTCTCTGCAAAAGTAGGTAATACATATACTTTATGTTAATTGATAGCTAGAAAACATTACAAAAGCAAAGAAAAACCTTTGAACATGTATACTGACAGTCTTTCATGGACACTCGCTCTCATCGGCCTCGATGAACCAGCTACCTACGATACCATCCCTTCCCTATTAAGAAGTCAGTGCAACATTCTCGGCACAACGCAGCCTGCCAACTGACCTTATTCTCACAGGTATCAGGATGGTCAAACCTCTGCCAAGCAAACTCGGACGGAGTAGAGAAGCACATCTCAGCCCAGTTGTCCCAAGGCTCTTGATGGTTGAACAACTTTGCATCAACGCGCTAGAACGATGGCGTCAGCCCAATGTCGAGCAACCAATACAGTGTTATGGCGTACCCGTTTATGAGAGCCAAAGCAGTCCTAATGACCGTAATGAGCGCGTACACGGATCAACAGTCTGACATAGATGGACGCTCATCTTCTTCTCATGATCCCCCCACCAAGTCTTACACGTCGGCTCGTTGGAGCTGACAGTCCAATACCCAATAGTCTTCACAGCTCCATCCTGTCGAAAAACAGAATGATTTTGTAATACTGATAAGAGAACCCAGAAGAGAACGCACTATCAGTTCCAAGGTGCAAAGTTCCGGATGATCATATGTGATACCGTGGATATCGATGCTTGTCTTCATGCACCAGCCGTGAGCATCCTCGCTGGCTGGTACATTCAACAGTTCCGCATGATAAATCCTCTTCTCATACCCCAAGCATCGCTTCTCCATCATCAAATCCCGTCATGCCAGCCCTGCGCGCTTCCTACGCTCCTCGTCAGCGAGTATCGCATCCTCTTTAGCCCGCAGCCAAGCTTTGTCACCATTCGGGCCACAGCAACCAGTCTGGCCTGGATCGTCCTTTCTTCTCTCTCCCTCTCCACTTCCCTCCTCTTGTCCTCCTCCTCATAGGCCAGTCGCCTCTTCTTATCCTCCTGCTGATGTGCAAGCTTCCTCCGTAATTCCTCACCTTCGATTCTCTTTGCTCGTTCCATATCCTCGCGACGGCGTATACGGTCTTGGACGTCTGTATGGTCCGTATTGGTATAGTCGCCGACGAGGTGGAAGGCAAGGAATGCCACGACGAAGATGGATGCCAGGACTTTGAGCGTAGCCAAAGGCTTTCCACGTGTAGCTCGTGGCACCAGCGGGGTACATTCATCACTCGGACCTGGTAAAGGTCTAATAATTGTCGGTATATGAAAGAGTGCACTAAACCGTACTTTAGCATGGCGGTGGAGGGGATCAGTCTGTTGCAGTACGATGTCAAGCAATGACAGAAATAGCAGGGTAGAAGAGCTTACCTGGAAGAGTTGTTCATAAAAGGAAGATTGGCGGAGTCAGAATACCGCCTTTGAAGGGGCCATGTGGTTGAATCCCACACTGTTCGGTAGAGGTGCCGTTCATGTGTAAAATGCATTCCTACCCGGTCTGTTCCCAGGGTTTAAATTCCTGGAGACCCCTTTACCTGCATGTTGGAAGTGACTGTGTCACTGGACAGCCTCTACAAGAGCCCTCACCAAAGAATACCACCTTTAAAGCCTACAAGTGCAGTGCTTAAACAAAGTGCTTCATTTCTCAGCCACTGTCAATGATAACAATGTCAGATATTTTAATGGTGTCACTCACACTACAAGGCCAGTAACCTCAAATACTGTGAGCACCTGTCCACTTGACCTGACTCTATAGCATCGACAAACCTGTCACAGAAGTATAAATGTTGTCCAGGACATGTACAAGAATTGGCTTGTCTTAAATATGAAGATGAACAATGTGCAATCCAGTTCTGACCCACTTTGCAAACCCTGCCTTATGGGCAAGCACAGGTGACACAATATTTCTCAAGGGCTCTCACTCCTTCCAATGTGCTCTCTTGCAATCATATTCTCTGATCTTAAGAGACCAATACCAGTCACTATGCCAGAAGGTTATCACTACTGGATCACATTTATATGTGGCACTCTGTGTTTTTGGGCTGTTGCCTTGCTAAAGCACAAGAGTGATGCTCTGGCTGAATTTAAACACTACAAAGCCTATGCTGAAAATTTCCATGGTCTGAAGATCTTAGAGGAGCAAGAGAACAGTGGAGGAGAGTACATGGGTCATGAATTTGATCAGTTATGCATAGCTGAAGGGATATCAAGATGCTATACTGAGCCTGATGAGCCTCATCAAAATGGAATTGCAGAATGCCAGAAACAGACACTGGAGGGTTGCTCAACTTCCCAGGGATGTGGTTGTATCATTATCACAGCTGATCCACCATTCCCACTGTTCATTGGTTCAACTCTATATCATTGATACAACCATTCTTGATAATGATCTTGTCATAGTTTTGTGACTAACACCATGTCTAGAGGAACTTTCCACTGAGTTCAATCACTGAAGGAGGAATAATGATCCAGGTATGAAACCACTGGTGAAGCAGCTAGTGGTGACTACACTAGTAGATGGATCTCTCTGCCATGCCTTTGTCTCTTTCCTGAGTAGCCTTAGAGTCATATTAGAATTAGGAGCCAATGTCTCCCATGTCTTGTTTGTTGACTCCCACTTTGTTGCTATGATCACATCATGCCATGAATCTGGTGCCCTCATGAAACTCAAGCTAAGCATAGTCAGTCTCAGGTGGAGTTCTGATTTGGATTCCAATAACAAGCATAATTTAGTAAAGCTCAGAGACACTGGTCTAATGCTGCACTTAACTCTGTGACATTTCTGCTAAAGAGTTGTTACCCATTTTCTTTATTGTGTGTAGAGTTTTATAGCAATGTTCCAAATGACAATGTCATCTTGTATCTTGCATTGACCCCAATCTTTGTACAAAATTAGAATGATGGCCTCTACTATCAGTCCAGACACAGCCATTGCTCTATTGATATGACACATGTATAACTAATTGCAAGATATGTCAGATGTTCACTGCCATCTTACTGGAAGATGGTGAGAGAATATCCAAAAAGTTCTGAGAGATTGAGCATCTGATCAGCTCAGGCTCTAGTGGTACTACTCTATGAATGTCATTCATTTGATGTGAATTGAGGAGCTTCAACATGAGATAGATTATTATATACTTTCTTATCCCCTTGAGTGATCTTCTCCCAATCATTCACATCAACAGGCAGACATCAATGGGAAGGACTGAGATCTACATATGTGCAGGGTAGAAGTCTTTCTATGGATAGCTGGTCAAAATTGGAGTTATGAGTTAGATTTGGATGACAAATATTATTTAGAGAAGCTTAAGGAAACAAGAAGCACTGGAATTTGATCTGCATATTTTCTGGAACTTTGCTGCATGTGTTCTTTGTCTGTAGAGTTTTATAGTGACATTTTAAATGTGAATATGATGAGAGAATATGAGGAAATACCTAAAATGCTGAGCATCTAGATATTTTTCTTTACTGCAGACTATTCTGTGTGTCATTGGCTTTCCTTCTGAGGTTCAATGTCAAAACTTAAAAAGTTCATATTTCTGAGACTGAACAAAGGATGGAGGCAGCATCTGACTTGCAGAGATATAGTAAAAATAATTCAGTGCAATTCTATGTCACTTTTTTCACCACTAATTAACATCAGATGCATTCTCAGGATTTTTTGTTTGATAATATCATTCAGGCTGCTATTTAAAATGCTGAAGAACTCACAATGAAATCAATAGGCTTTTTTACCATAGCTACTCATTCATGTACTCCATAACTTACACCACTCACACTGCTTCTACTCTGTCTCCTTTTCTTAGCACTGCTAATTGACATATAAAAGCAATATTAGTCCAAATCCATTCACTGACAACCATGGATTCACTGGTGACATTGTGTGTGTGGGAATGCTTGATGAGTCTCTGCCACAAGATTCTCCTGCATGTTTCTTTATTGTAGCTATCATCACATCTCCTGAAATGCTGAGAGGTGGCACTAAATGAATCAATAATATGCAGAATGCACACCACCAAATCACTAATACCAAATCACAATGTGGTTCAAGAGAGAAATGGTAATACCAGGATTTCAAGTATGTAGAGAAATATAATGTAGATGGAGTACAATAAAATATGTTTCAAAGATGTATGTTGTGGCTTTGCTTAGACAAAGCTGTCTGTGTCACTGAACACAATAAAACTTATTTCAAACAGTCTGCCTGGTGCAGTTTATGGACTGATACAATGTGCCTGATTGTGACTTATATGCAAATACTGGCTGTTCTGAACTGTCTCAAGTCTGTTCTGACTGTCTGATATAAACTTTCAGTTGCTTTCTGGGGTTCTTGCACAAAACAAAGTGACCTGGTCACTACAATGCTATTCAGGTTGAGTCTACAACTTGAATCTCTTAACCAAACACAATCTGTACTATTTGCTTGATAGTGTTTTTTTTTTTTGGGAGAGGGGGTCAGAAACCTGCTTTCCCTCTATATATGACCTGGTATTTATACTTTCTAGCTACTCATGGCTGACTAATATAATCAACTACTGACCAATATGCTTGCTGATGCAACAAGAAAGGCTAAACTCATTTTCTGACAGATATGAGCTTATATGTGGCTATCTGGTTGATTGATTGGGCTGGGCTCTGGTTCTTGCAAACATGCTGATCATGTGAGTCTCTGTTCTCAGGCATGGGAATCTTGTGTGTTGAACAGAGAGGCCTTATAATGCTCCAGTCTCTGCTAGACATAAAGATGTCACACTTGAGGGAACTATGCTCTTTCCAGATAGTCACTTGCATAGTGTATCTTACTATGGTGGGTACAGAGTAGCTAACTGGGTAAAAAGCAATAAATATATCCTCTTTTCTACCTGTACTCCCTTCTTTCATTCACCAAATGTTCTTTCATTTCTTTTGCTATTCTTTTTATTTTCCTCTCATTGCTTTCATCATCTTAAAAATAAATAGCCACTCATGTACACACTATCAGGACCACTACTCCACTCAAGTAATTACTCCTTCAGAGTCTGTACTGCATCAAACATTATACCATGTCCATTTTGATCAATATTTTCATAGACTTGGGAGACTTTTACAGAAAACATTCACCAAAGCAGTGGTCTACTCCAGTATGATTCTTGCTTGGTACATCAATGATGATATATATAAAACTGCATACCCACCCTCCACAAGGCTTCCAATCTTTGGGCATTTACCTCTGAGATATCAAATGATGCTGGAGCATGGAGTGTCAAGCTCTTCAAACCCTCATTCTCAACTCTGCAGAATCTCAGAAGCTGAACAACAGCATTTTGGCAATTAATAATGCTATCTCCCATGGCAGATGTATCAATCTTGACAGTTTGAAGTTGAGAAAGAGTAGTTGATTTGGTAAGAATTTCAAAGATGCTTTAAAGGTGGACAATATTTTCCAGCTCTTTGATCAAAAGCTCCTCCAGGTTTCCAAACTCATTCACTCTGAGAAGCCCCCAACAATCATTTGTGGGGGGGTGCATAAGAACCAGATGCTTTAATGCACATTGTGATCTATGCACAAGGCATATAATGCTCTCAGATAGCTCACAAACTCCACCAAAATTGATTCAAAAGTGTTTAAGAGCAGATAGAGTGAGACTATTGAGCAGAATGATGATTGTGGAAGGAGAATTGGTATTAATACTGAATGCCCAGGGTAATACAATGTTCAGTGAAAATGATTTGAGCAATGTTGAATGCATGAAATCAGATATGGGGTGAGATGGGCCAAGAGGAGAATACTCAACATGTTGGAATGCCATGGTGTCAAGTTTGTATGCAAGCTTGAAGAGTGCAAGAGCATCCTCAGTGGAGAGAGACCCAGTGACTACTATGGTGTTTATTTGTGGCTATAGAATGATAATATGGCTGGGATGTAGAAAAGGTTGAACATTATTGACAATAAGCTGAAGAAGGCTGATAACATTATGCAGCAATGGGACTTTCTTATGCATTGTGGTAGACCTGTATTCACTCAAGTTGCATTGGAAGCTAACCAGAGCATCCAAAAGTAAGTCTACAGTAAGGAGATTATTCTTGTCCAAGGTCAAGTGTTCTCATCAATACAATACTGATATTAAAATGAGAAGGAGTGACTGTAGAATTGGACTATGAAGTCTGACTTGGAGAGGATAGTTGGTGGAACAATAGACATGCATGGAAAGCAGCCATGCTGCCCTCAGGTGTGGATGGTCATTCTGCAGCCTATAGTTATGGGTGGAATGGCTTGAGGGCAAAAAAGTCAAGTTGATCATAGACCACATTCAAGGATACTTCAGCAATATGTGCCTCCAGTTTAAGCAAACCATGCCAAGCTTCCATTGATACAGAATATCAAGTTGCTGACTTGACAAGTATGGAT